CCTCGGCCCTGCCTGTTCAAACAAACGATCGAGGCGTTTCTTCTCAGTGACCCTGACCCTCCCCGGCGTTGGAGCTCCTCGGTGTGGTCTCCTCTCTTCCTCCCCGTGTTCTGTCGCCTTTAGCTTCAAAAACGTGCTCGGCTTTCTCGTAGGCCTGCTGGAAGTTGGGCCCCCCTCCCTGTTGCCCTCTAATGGGCGGTAACGTGGTGGTCGGCGCGGCGCCCCTCTCCGTGCCGGTGCTGGCTGAGGGGCAGCGGGTACGCTGGGCCCGGGGTCCGACACCATCCCTGCTCCCTGCCTCAATAGCGGGAGGATTTATTAGTTCAGAGGTGCAGGACTCGGAGGCTGAGGCTGTGGCTGTGTTTTATTGCTGCCCCATGCGTATAGGGTAAAGCATTGTTTAAATTCTGAAAAAGACGCAAATTGGTAAATTGCGTTAGTAAAATATCAGTATGTCTAGCAGGTTATGAGAAATGTTCCTTGGAGGATTTTAGATTTGTTTTTTAAATGGGACATCTAAAATCCAAAAGGGGAGAGAGACTTGGACCATTTGGGCCCGGTTCTTCATTTAGTGGTTTTCAGCAGTGTGGGAGCAGGTCCTCCACCTCTAACAAAACAGAAGCTTGCTTTATTTCTTTTTTTTTTTTTTTTTTTTTAAACCTAGTGTGTTTCTGTTGTTAATTGCTGTTTTTGGAGCATTGCAGAGTAGTGCAGAATGGTAGTAGAAGAAAATACCAGATTGCTAGTGTTTGCTGTGCAAGACGTGACTGTTAAAGAGTCTGTCTTGCCAAGGCAGTAAGTTCTGCCAATGCATGTATGTGAACATTACTGTTGAGACTTTAATTAACCATCAATGGTTTAGCTGAATTTTTCAGTGTGTGACAGGTAAGCAATTACATATCACACAAATTGTGCTTCTGTTGGTTTCCCTAGTACTAAGAGAAGCAGCACTGCTCCCTGTGTGATGGTAACTTCTGTAGAATTTGTGGTAGTTTCATGTAATGTAAAAGTACAGAGAATGTGTTTCACAGTTCTTAAGGCTTGTTTAAAATACATATGTTTATGTATGCACACAGAGGAAAATCTGCTTTGTAGTTCTTAAGCTTCTGTAACATATCTGTGGTGTATTTATGTACACAAAGCTTTAAGTCCTTTCTAAGTTCTTTTTATCAATCAAAAAGTTTGGTGACTGTAAATGTCCTGATAACTGTAGGAGCAAGTTAGCAACATGGTTTTTGGTTTCTTCCCTTTTTTTTTTTCTTTTTTTTGGTGTGTGTGTGACTACTACTGCTGAAAGCTACATAAAGCTGGTTAAAGCAGTTCAAAGTTTATGTAAAGCCATCAATGAAAGACCATCTTCTGAAAAACAAAATATATTAAAACCCCAAAACCAAAGAAAATGTGCCCCCAAACCCCACCCCTCCCCCCCAAAAAAGCCCAAAACAACCAACAAAAAAAAAACAAACCCACAACAAATCAAAACAACCCAACCCAACAAAACCCTATTTGTGTTTCCAAAATTTCCACAATCTATTATCTTCCTGAAGTGGTGGATACCATGTGTGGCTTTGAGCAGACTTCAGAAGTAAGCCACCTGCGTGTGGGGGATCAGCAGGCTGCTTCAGGCAAAATGAATGCTTGCAGTAAAAGCAGCCAGAGGGAGTAGTCAAGTGCACAAGGACAAAGTTGCAGAAAGCTGGTTTGCGTAGTCTTCTGCAGCGAGTAAGGCAGAAACCACAAGAGGCCTCTTCGATTTTGTTCTGATAAGTAGCTTGAGAAGAGTTCTTATTCTTTTGCTTTTGTCTCTTAGTCTTGTAACTGTTAAATTTTTTAGTAATTTTTTTTATAGAAAAAATATTAAGCCATCACTGTTATTCTGTACTGAATGGAAGGTAATTTCTAAGGCAAGGTAACATCACAACACAGTTCTTGAGAGTTTGCTGCTTCATTTGAGTACTGTTGTGGTTGCCTAATTTAGTTGCAGCATTCCTTTAGGAAAAACAAACCTGCCACATCTCATCTCCGAGCTTCTGCCCATAACGATACCAAGGAGTTATAGCAGTAGAGGATACACCTAATTTCTTAAAAGACTTTGCTTCCAGGTTGGATTTTTCTGGCTTGCTCCGAGGGAAGGGTTTCTATCAGGGCATTTGGAAGTCGTTTATGTGAATCCTCTGTTGCTCCGGGAGAGCTCAGCTTGCAGCTTTTACCTTTTCTAGGAGTACTGTTTGGTTCTGGTGGCTGGTTTTGGATGCTACTGAATGCTGTGTGCTTGCACAGACTGTAAAATAGGTGTTAAATTAATTGGCATTAAATTAATGGTGTTAAATTAAACCAAAATATATCTCAATGCTTTTCTATTCAGCTGCTTTTCTGGCTGAGAAAGAATGTATAGATTTTAAAGTCTGAAATTGGTCTAGTAAGTGTGGCATATCCACAATCTATCCCCCAAGTATTGGCTGCAGTATGAAGCAGAGGTAAGGCAGAAAAACAAATTAATGACCTCATACTCTCCCCAGCTCCTTCCTGCATAAAGATCAGGGCACCAAGAGAATAGCAAGCTACCACACTATTGATTAAATCTAATGCAAGTCAGTTGTAGGCGAAGGTGTACAGCCATGACTCAGTAGTTTGAGGATTTACTCCATATGACTTGCTTACATCACTGCCTGACTTGGTGACACTAATCATGCAGTGCTGGGTCGTCTTGATCTCTGATGCTATTCAGCAGGTGTATATGAGAGGAGAAGAGTGGTGCAATGTTATCTCTGCTATGTAGTCTGACATGTGGACAGATAAGAGCAAAGATGTGGAAGCAGTGGTGACTAGAAATAATGCTACTTGAACTGCTTTCGCTTGGTATGTGAATCAAGGAAGGCAGCCAAGATGAGAAACGTGTTAGTATGCAAAACATGTTGCAGGTTATCTGCGTTCCTTGCAGAGCGATAACAGAGCTGCTGTACAGCTTGGCTCCAGCATCTTCTAAATTAATCATCTTAGGGGATTTTAATTACTGTGCAGGTGATGCATCTACTAAGCTGACACAGGTGATCCATGACATCCTTAGAATGCCTCAAGATGCTGCAGATATAAAAATTTATGGACCTTTCTTCAACCTTACCATGAATATTGGAAGCATAATAGCTCTCCTTGCTCTCAGCATCTCTGTTAAAAAGAGCGTAAGACTTGGTCTTCTTGCTGGCTGGGTCATAAGCCAGCAGATACTCAGACAAAGCAGATTTTTTAAGTTCTTTGCTTAGGCGAAGGGCTCAGAGGGAACACTTGGCTGTAGGACCAGTGTGTTGGTGTGAAGAAACATGAAGAATTAAGAGCCTGTTGCTAAGAACTGCTAGTGCTTAATTTTTTAACAGTATAATTTGTCTATCTTGTTTCACTTTTGAGGCAGATTGAGAAAACAGATAGTGCAAGCCAGGCATGACTGATGTAGTCTGGAGTAACTGTGTGCTGGAGGTGCCAGTGGGAGAGTCTGTAGGTGGTCTGTGCCCATCAGAGGCAGGAGTGTCAGTAGTAGTGCTCACCTGTAGGAACTCGCAGGGTGCTGACTTTACCTTCTGCTGAAGGCATGCAGCTCTCGGCAAGCTTGGACACACTTGAAGTATGATGTAGCTTTTCACTTTCTATCTATGCTTGCTGCTGTCTTGGATGTTTAACATGGGTTATTACCCTTGCCAGACTTAAATTACAACTGCAAAACATGTGTCCTTTTTTCCCTGTGTAAATACCGGCCAAATCACTTTAAAGCTGCTAGTGTGAGATTGCTCTGAGCTTGAGAACAAATGCCTCCTGCTGTTACGGCAGTAGAATATGTCCTGGAATATAGAAGTATCTGAAGGTAGTAGCATTTATTTTACAATAGCTAGTTCTGCCACCGAAATGTGGGAACAGAAAGGAAGGGGTAAACATCTTGATTTTTATAAAATAACTAGGGACCTTGAATTCTTAATAGAAGAGTGACATAGGAATATACTCAAACTAAGCAAGTCTTCTGCCTCTTCACCTGTCCTTTCTCCAGTCAAGACCATAAAGCAAAACCCTAAAGTCTTGCCTGGCTCTTGCAAAAACTGCATTACAGGAGCAGAATCAGGTTTGCAGTGGTGATAAATGGAAATAGTCATATTATTACTTGAAGTCCATGTTTAACATAAATGCCTTTTGGCTTGCTCACCAAGGTAATAATCGTAGGAAAGGAGATTGTTCACTGTATTACAAAGCCGGCTAGATGTGTAAGGCTGTCATGAGGTCCTTATTCTATTAGTGAATCTGCTAATCTTTGTTTAAAAATAGTCAACTAGTGTCAGTGTTGTAAAACATGGTGGTCTAAGCCCATAAACAAGACAGAATTTGAATACAGGTTATGAAGTTTATTGGTCTGGTGGAGTATCCTGAAGAATGGCTTTGCCTGACTGTAGGCTAACTACAGGAAAAGATAAGTATGCACAGGTTAGAGGTCAAATGCTGCTTCTGTTCTTCAATCTTTCCTTGCCTGAAGTAAGCTAAAGAAATAATAAAAAATGGTTCTTCCACACTTTAGCTGTATGTGCTCAGAACTTGGGGAAAAAAATGTAGGTAGTAGGCTGAGGTGAGGAGGTTCTGTTTTAATTATTTTTGTTAACTAGGTACTTCTGACTCAGCTCGACTGCGGGAGAAGGAAGTTTCTTTAAACCGTTTTTTCTTTCTTTAGATCCAGCTATGACAACAGATGATGCCAGCAGTCAGTCTCAGGCAAACTCTTTGACTAATATGAAGAATGGACTTAATGAATCATTTCCTGGTAACTGTTTTATTTCAGTAAACCTAAAGCTATAATATTTTTTCCCTAGTGATACTAAATTATGGTGTAGAGTTTACATTTTCATACTGAAGTCTTTCAAAATAAGGTTGTGACTTTTCAGAAGGAAGAGAAGTAAATACGTAATCTAGGCCTTTAAAGCCACTGCAAGAGCTAATGTGTCATAAGCATCTTGAGGACCGGAAGAAGGTAGCTGACTGCTAGCTGGTGAGCTGTTGCTCTTACACATATATGCAATAAAAGCAGGCAGTGACCCTGGAGATGGGATAATTCACAAACTAGAACCATTGTGGGAGGTTCTGTTCTAGCACTTACTCCTGATAATTTTTTGTGTAAGGAATCCTCCTGTTGAGCTAGTGAGAGGTATAATAATGCCCTTGCACCAGGGCATTAATTATATATATTATTAATAATGCCAGACACCTTGCTAGTGCCTGCTAGCTTCATCATTATCTAAAAAAACAGATTTTTTTTTTTTTTTTTTTGAATTTATGGATATGTCAATACCTTTGGTTGTCCCTCCATTCATCATATTCTGGACGTTAATTGCAGTTTTACTAGGGAGCAGAGAATAAGTTCCAGGCAGGAGAAGAAACTGATGGTTGTTGATTCCCCCTCTTCTTTCTTATGAAGATGGAGAAGCAGGAATTCAGCAGTGTACCAAAGCTCATGTTGGTTTGTGCATATCAAACATGGACTAAGTTACATTTATACGTGAACTCAAGCAAGTTCTGTCAAGTTGTTCCATCTCAGGTTTTGTTGTTGGAGATGGTAATGCTATTTACCTGATGTTCATCTTAAGAGCTTTTTAGCATGATGCGCGTGTGAGGGAGCGCAACAGCTAATGGATTCAGTAACTCTTTCTAGACATAAATACACCTTCTATATACATAGAATGGTTTGGGTTGGAAAGGACCTTGAAGGTCATCTGGTTCCAAGCCTCCTGCCATGGTTAGGATCCACTAGACCAGGTTGTCTAGAAAGATATGATCTAAACTATAGTAAGAAACTACTACAAATACGGTTGTGAAAGCTTCCATGAGCTAAAATACAGAATATGACCTAACCTGATTATTTTCATTTTTACGTGAATTGAGGAAGAAAGTCAGTATAAGGATCCTAGTAGTGTGCAGGACATTTTAAAGGCGGTTATTGTGAATGTATAACAATTACCATATGGACTGGCACTGCTGCCTTTTGAATGTATCATCATGAGAGATTTCAGTAACAAATCAAGTGAGGTGTGTACTAAACTGACGTAAACTCAGGTGATCCGTGGCAAAACAGGGTGTTTGCACACAGAAGCAAAGAAAGATTCCCCAGAACTCTTTTCAGCCTTTATGTCGTATTTTAGAGATAAACACTTGGGCTAGTTTTTCTCCACCAGGCAGAGATCAAGTCTTGCTTGTGCTCTTATCTAGAGAAACGGGACTTACTGTCTAGTGCTGGGAGACAGCTTTATAATTTTATTTTGCTTTAAAAGCCATTTTGTAATAGTAGCTGAGATTGACAGCAGTCTGTTGTTAACAACAACCAAATGTAGGTCTGTTCTTCTGCATCATCTGCTTTAATATACAGGTTTATAGTTACTTAAACTTGTTGAAGCGTGGGGGAAGGTATGAAAGTGCAGATGGAACAAGCCAGGCAAAAGGCTGACTGCCTGTTGCATAGCGTTCCTTGTGTTGTGGTCTGACAGGTAGATAGAGGAAAAACACTGCTTTATGGAACAGGCCTGCAACTTGGAAGGCATGTGTTACCTGTGCTTGTGCTTGCTCGAAGACCTTTGGATGCAAATCACTAGTATGGCCTTCCTTCAGCACAGGCAGATTGTAGCTGGGAGAAATACGTTTAAGAACTGTGCCTCAAAGTTCAATGTTTTATGCAGGAAAAGCGAAGGAGTAATTCCGAGAAGACCTAGGCTTTCAGAGACACTGTTTCTACTGCACAGTGAGCAACTCTGCCACCCAGTGCTTCTGTCAGTAAGAAGTCAAGCTGTAGCCCAGTTTTTTCCATTTTCCTGACTGAATATGAACCTTTTAAATCCATGCACAGGAGAGAAAATGAAGCCCTTTTTCTTCAGAAAAACTAGAATAATTTTCTCCTGTAATGTTGTATGACTAGGCAGATTCACTATGTAGTTACTATTTATGTATTTCTGAAATGCATTATAAAATTGACAATAAAATTACTTGGCAAGCACGTAAAACTAAAAAACATTTAGTGTATTGTATCTGCTATTGCTTTTGTTTCTTCACTGAATTGAAAGAAAAATATTTTTTTGTAAGAGGTTTGCTTTTTGTCACCTTTCAGAGCCCATGACAACTACACAAATTTTCAGTTGGCGAACACAGGGGAGCCCTTCAGATCACGTAACACTTGGACACGAAGTATCTGTACCTGGTAAAAGCAAGCACATGTCTTCTACTGAAATGGTTAAGTTTCAGTTACCCTAAGGTTCTACCTTGATTTTTTTTTTCTTTTTTTATTTTATTTTTTTTTTAAATGAAATTATTATGGAGGGCTTGTATTTATTGGTAATTACCAAGACAAAGATGTTCAAGCAGTACAGAAAGTAACTGTGGAAACTGAAAGAAAATAAAATTGCTAGAGTGGTGTTAAATTGACCTTTCTTTTAAGCATAACTTCTAATGTCTTCTCCCACAGTGTGTTTAAGTTTTACTGGGAATTTGTATGCAGATAGTACAATATTAAGGAAACAATTATGTGTGTAGATATGGAAGGATGATGCTTGCTTAGTGGGGCTACATCTGCTGTTAATGCTGTAGTTCATCAATTTGCTTTCTTGCTCTGTCCTTGAAATGCATGGAGCATGAAAACTAGCGTGGTGGGAACAGACAGTTCATGCTTACAGTTGCCTGCATGAGTTTTATGAGTTGCCTGCTGTATCGAGTTTTATAAAGGTCGTCCCTGAAGAGTAGGCTATCCGTTGCCCTACAGGAAAGGGATTTTGCAGGGCATATTAAACTTCCTAAACACAGTTTTTCCTCACAGAAGGAAAGGAGTATGTTTTAGGCATATGATGATCAATATTGACATTACTTGTGAGGAGGAGTGTTCCCTGCAGTTTTGTGGAGCAGTGAGGGACTGACCATTTCCCAGTGGAGCACAGGCTGTTTTTGCCTCTGCATTTATTAGAACTGCATCTAGATTAGATAGTCTACCTCTGGCTTTCTGGCCATGTTTTTAAATTGTAGTGGCCTTGGGAATGGCAGTGTTCTGTCCTGCTGGGGTTTTTCTGCATGTGTGGTGGTGGTGTGTGGTTTTTTTTTTTTTGGTGTTTTTGTTTTGTTTGGGTTTTTGTGTGTGGTTTTTTTTTTTTTTTTGTTTGTTTGTTTGTTTGTGTTGGTGTGTGGTGTGTTTTTGTTTTGTTTTGGTTTGGTTTTTTTCCCTAAAGCTTATTACTTTTCCAAGCTTTAGTTAAACACTGATGTAGTCCTATACAGTTCTAGGACCCACCTATGATGTTTGAATTGGTCTGTAAAACGGATAGTTACAACCTCTTTAGAGTATTGACGTTCACAATTACAATATATTAAAGCTAGAAACAATCTTCTAAAACGATGTAATTACTGTAACAGCAACCACACAACACTACAGTTTTCAGATTCTGACTTGCAACCTACAAGGTATGTGAAAGGATCTCCATACTAGTCTGCATTTACCAAGGTCCTTTTTTTCTCCCTCATGTTACTCTAAGAAATAATTGCAGCACTGTATTGATGCTCTGCAGTATGATTGCCTTTATAGGATCACAACATACCACTTTGCTTCGTTTACAACCTCGTTAGGTCCAGATCTTGCCACTAAAGAGTCCAAGCAGACAAGCAGTCAGAGTGTCACTTCTGTGCAGTATAAGTTACTTCTACCTGGTGAGTATGTAATTTTTCTCTTCCAGTTATGTTATATTGAATGCCTATGATTGCATACGCAATCTTATGTATGAGTTACAGAAATATCTAAGATAGCAACTTCCTGATAAAGTTACAGTGATCACAGTAAGCATGCGATGAGCCCAGTAAACGGAAATATTATTAAGTTTGTTGCATTGTTGTGTTCTAATAATTATTTTATTAGTGGAGAATGAGATTCTTACTTTCTAAAAATCACAAGAAAAAACAGCTCATAGCTATGTGCTTCCCCCAAATCAATCCAAGTGACAATTTCTTTGCACTAGCGAATCCGCTTGGAAAGACCACATAAGCTAGAGTACTTGTTAACCAGCAGGTGTTAGTCAACTTTGCAGCATTACAGAATTTAAAGCATGGAGAAAAGGCAAGATAAACATCTTCCTACAGTAGACGTGAAGTTCCCACAATAATATATAACTTATTTCTTGGACAACTGTAAAATTTAACTGAAATCTTTTTCAACTGGAGATCATTTAGAACTCCATTGCAAAATTCTGGTATGATATTTTAATGACATTATTGCACAACGTTCATACTGTATTTCTTCTAGCAGGAAGCTTAAGGCAGATGTTCTGGTACATGTACTCTTGGTACAGAGATGTCCCAAATACTGGTTGTGGTAGTGGTTAGCCATCAACAGCAGAGGGTTTTCATGTTCCTTTCATTCAAAGTGTGAATTTGTTTTTTAAATAATCTACCAAGTACAGATTCTACTTTTAGCCAGTGTAATTAATCTGACTGTAAAGTTTTAGCTATTGTGAAACCGGTTCCATTTGTAAAATTACTTCAGTTGTAAACAACAAGGTGAGTTGTTTGGCTCATTTATTAAGCATAACAGCTCTAATAAATGAGTTGCAGTTACTGATTTTCCTCCCTATGAAAGCTCAGGGTGTTGCACCTGTAAGTTTGACCACAGTTCAACAGATCTGTGGTATTTTGGCTGGGACTTGGACTTCAGGGCGTACTGTTCTGCAGGCTGTAAATGTGTGTGCCAGACCCAGTGAAGTTTAAATATTTTATAGGAGTATCTGGGGCTTCTACTTCAGACGGTCTTTGCTTCTTAGGTATGACTTGCAGTACTAGGCCAGTGAGCTGTGCCTTAAAACTTGCTTTTTCTCAAAGAATTTGAGCTGTGAAATGCAACTGTACTCTTGACCATCAAAGACTATAGGGTCTAGGATTGAGGTGAGGCGTGGAATAATTTTCGTTGGAGTATTTGGTTAGACTAACCACAGTTGTATCTAGAAGGTATGAAATAAAAGGCCGATGATGAAATAAAATGGCAGTGCTGACCAGTAAAAAGTCAGATGTTTGGTTTGGTTTTGTGGTGGTTTGTTTTTTTTTTTTTTTTTCCCCCCCCTCTTTTCCTCTCTCTAAAAGCTGTTTGTGTGGATCAGAGAAGATATGAGATATTTAGATAATCAGACTGGTTAAGGTTGGAAGGACCTGGATGATCATCTGGTTCGAACTCCTCCTGCCACAAGCAGGGACACCTTCCACTAGACCAGGTTGTTCAAAGCACCATCCAGCCTGGACTTGAACTCTTGCACAGATTGGGCAGCCACAGCTTCTCTGGGGAACTTGTTTGAGTGCCTCAACACCATTGCAGTATCTGCTGTTGAAATCTACTTATGAATACACTCATTTTTGCTTTTAACAAGCTTCATAAGCATAAAAAGTGTCAGGTGGTTCTACTGTATTGGAATGTTTTCAGATTGTAATTGTGCTGGCTTACCACTAAGAAGGCAAAGGCAGCCGTAATTTAAAGATTATTTCCTCCCCCACCCCCCCCCCAATTCAGCAGCGGTAGCATGAAAAGCCAGATCCAACAATGTTAAGCCTGTGGATTTTTGTCAACATCTTCACTAGCAACAGGACATTACCTGTGGTCTCAGAGTATCATAAGAATATGCAGCTGGCTAACACTTAGGTGCTTGTAGATACTTACAAGTTTAACGTTTTGAGATTATTAGTATTTTTACTATGCTTGCTAATATTTTTTAATGTAATAAATCCTGCTTTTTTAATACCAAATGTGAAGTTGAACAGGAAGTTTAGACTGGGAGCAGATATTGTTGCCCCTGGTGAGAGCTAAGTGCTTAATATACTTTGGTTTGGGTTAAATTATGTAGAAGAATGTCTTACCTTGCTTTCAGTGAAACGAGTATCTATGTTACTGTATTAGAACTCCCTAGGAATTTTACCTGCAGAATGTGTGTAACTTTTGTAATGGATGTGTATCATAACTCAGTTATGGCTTAAGAAAATTAGTGTCACTGTCTGATTTTGCAGTTTTACCCTGGAAAATATAACAGAAACACAATTTAGTCACTTGTAATCCAACATATGTAAAACACAAATTTGAATCTGTTCTTCCTCCACAATGAAGAAGTGTTTTTCATAAATTTTTTTTAAACTTTGTAGGTGCTTCTGGTACTTCTGTGGAAACAACTGTCAGTTTGGACAGGGTAGTTGAAGTTGAATTAACTTGCATATTGGACAAGAAATATTCCCATTTGAAAAGTTTTCAAGTGATTTGGAAGAGGGGAAATGATACAATCAGTCATACCAATAAAACTGATAACAGCTGGAGCATCAAGTAAGTAGCATTCTTTACAGTTTGACTTTCAGGTTCTCATACGCTGCTCAATATCTTAGAAAAGAGCAAAATGCAGGGATTAATATGTCTGTAATTGGCATATTGAAACTGCAGGAAAGGAGAAAGGTTGCAGTTACTTCAAGAACTGTACTACTAAAAACTTAAGTAATCTTAGTCTGAGATTGCTAAACTATCTCAATTACTTTTTCAACTTCCCTGTTTTTCTACATTCTCTTTTCTACCTCAGTGCTCCTTTGCAGTAATCTGAAAGCCATCAATGGTTAAGTCGTAATTAGCAAAACAGAGAAGAAACCAGCTTTACAGCAAAAATGTTTTGGATTGTTTTGAAGGTTTTCTTAACTCTTTTGAACCTCTGAAGAGACCCAAGAAATGTAGAAATCTTCCTCAGTTGATACCATTTACTGTTGGGCTCTAAAATTAACCCCTCTATGGATATTTATTGAGGTAGTCTCCAGCTGATTACTGTATAGCTTTTGTTTCTTAATGTCAGTAATATTTATCTAAAATTTCTATCATGGGAAATGTGATGAGAATGTATTTAATTTTTTTTTTTTGAAGTGTAACTGTCTCGGATAGCAGTAAGTTGGGAAGTTACAGTTGTACTCTGAAAGGTGAACAACAACTCAGTGGTATTTTTCACTTGCAAGGTAATTGTATTCAGTTTTAACTAATTTTAGTTTTAATTTACTTTAGATTTTGCTTCACTTGACCATTGAGATTATGTATCATTATGGTTTCTGGATAGTATGGAAATTGTAACTTAATTTGATAAGCAGTGACTAATATGGACAAGCTAATTGATAATCACTGTCAAAGGCATGGAGGGAATAAGAATTTTGAAGCTTTTTTAACAAAGCTTGTTAGCAACCGAAAGAACATATAAACCTTCTTTTTTCCTAAATGAGTAACTGATTTCCCCTTCCCTCTCCATCCCTAAGCAGGAGTAAATGCTCATCACTTTCTGGGGGTTGGGAGGAAAGGGTGATGTCTCAGGTAAATTCTTCAATAAGCAGAGCCAATGCCTTAGAAGTTTGGTCTGAGATTCGATATTATAAGAGGAGCAGTGATTGGCAGAATGGAGGCAGGTTTTTGAACAAATTAATTCTGGAAAACCAAATTACTGCTCTAGTGCATCTGTCATTCTGTTTAAAAACAGCACTTTCATTAAAAGTTACTGTGGTTAATTGAACAGTAGGAGTGTCGTTTCTTCTGTTTTGCATTCTTTGCTCAGTAACATTGTCCCAACAGTAATAAGTGAAATCCAGTTGAATGCAAGATGTGGAAATTAAACAAACACAAGCTGCTGAGAACCTTCATCTGTTAATGACAGCTAGTGCCTTTTCTATTCTCACCACTCAAATTTTGTAAAGAGCAAGAGAAACATCTGATCTGTGAAAGGTTCATGTACTATTACATTTATGAGAGATATTCTCCCTGAACACAAGCTTCTAAAACCACTGCCTCTTCAAATACTTACCCTAACTTCAGCTGGACTAACCAGCGGGGCATTGCAATTCAGTACTGCAAGCTGCCTTTGTACAGTGGTATATCTGGTTGTATAACGTGAGGAAACTCTCATGCATGTTAAACGATATCTGCTTTCAAACCTTCAACTAGGGGAGGCTAGCTTATGTTATTGAAGAAAGTCAAAATTGTAGTTTATTCAGGTCTTTTAATCTCAAAAATGATTATATGTTGTTCTTGTCAATATGTGGTTAAGGTTTAGTTGAATGTCTGTCCAACTCTGTTTAGACTAAAAAAGTGAAAGGAGACCTTATTCATTTGAAAGTATATAGTAACTATTTCAGTAAGGGCAGGAATGACTTAATAGGGAAGTCATCTTTTCCAGAACAGTGCATAGGACTGGCTGATTTATTACAAGAAGATGGGAGAATTGCTTCACAGTGGTTGAATGCTGCCACTTCTGGTGCCATAAAAAGTACCGGCTTGACATTTTTTAAGATTAATGCAAGAGTGAAGGAAATGGGAAAGAGAAGTCCTTGAATCTTCCAGTCAATAATGCAGAGAGAACAAATCTCAAACTGAAAGATGAGTAATGTGTTGATAGAGACTCGGTGGCTAAAGTCATCACTGCTGTAACTACCTGCAATGATTTTCCACAAGGCTGATAGGCATTATGGATGTCTTACCTCTCCTCCCCTTCCTCCCCATTCTGGCATGGCATGACCCTGCAGATTTTGAGGAGTTCAGCTTTTACCCATGTCTGCAGAAAACAATGAGATGCTTATAGGAAGGTCAAATTATTACACATGGAGACCATTCATGGGTATTTTGAAGTGTTGTACTAGCTATAGAATAGATTAATTTGTTTGCCTTTTGTTCTTGGATCCTTAAGCACCTGTACAGGTACATGCACTATGAAACAACTCTGGTCTTTAAACTAGTGTGGAACTCTTGACTGGTTCAAATGCTGATGTGATCACCCGTCTGGTCATCTCTTCAACGTTTTGCTGTGCAGCACCAGTGCTGGGTAAAAATTGTTGCAAAAATATCTGGGACAAAGCATGTTATTTCCTAGCACATTTAGGGATTAACCATTCTGAAATGGTTTCATATCTGTTCCTGGAATGGAAATTTTGAAGCTTGGCTGCTCACAAGAAGTGAACTTTTTGTGGACAATTAATTCATGCTCAGCCAGTCAAGAGGGGGGCAAACAAGAACAATCTTAGTTTATACCAAATTGTTCCATCATAACTGCTGAAAACAGGTTCTTAGCCTATTCAGTCTAGCGTGACCAATATAATTTAAGATATACTGGATCTGTACTTACAAGATAGAACAATGAAACTTTTTCAGTAAAATTTAAAATAGATCTGAAGAAAACATGCTGGTAAACATCCAAGTAAAGAGGGGAAGAAGGAGGAAGGGAAAATACATACTTCAGCATGATATAATTAGAGCTGAGCAAGTATATCTGTGGCATGCCTCAATGTATTCAACTTTTTTTTGGCTTTTGGTGTTGGAAGGCTGTGGGGACAAGTAGCTCTAGAGTTATAAACTGATGCCTTGTTTCTTGTGGCAGTGTTCTGTCCTTACCAAGATTGGACTGAAATTCTTTTTTATTGGCATGCACCCAAAAGCCACACTTCAACTCAGAAAATATTTCCTAAGTGCAAAGCTTTGTCAGTCTGCTGTTCTGTCTTAATCAGAAAGAGAAGCTCCTTGCGTACACAACTTGCCAGATACCATTGTGTGGTAGCATTATGTCTGGAATAGACTTCTATCACTTTTTGTCGATTGAGTGAAATTGCACAAAAATTGGTATGTTTTTCTAGTGTACTAGAATTAAAGCATGTAGCTCACAGCTTTTAAGGGAAGGAGAGAGGCAATCAGCCAAGGTAGAAATCGCTATCTGAGTATCACTTGGTTTTCAGTTTTAATAGGCAACTTTTAAACAAACAGCCACTGAGAACAGGATTCTCATAGTTTCTGCATAAATTCTGTATGTGTAATGTCAGCCTGAAATGACTCTTCATGTACGGTCATGCCATGAATAATAGAATCATCTGTGTTTTGAGGGAAAAGGAAGCGAAAGGACTACTGTAAGTAGATACCTGAATATCTTTTTTGCAATATTGTAATTAAAATCTGTAGCTCTCACATAATGAACTTTTTCCTACTTCGTAGTACCAAAAATTGGACGAAAAGAAAAACCCACAATCACTTACTTAGGAGACACAGCTGTAATGAATTGTGAATGTCCTGGCTATACAGCCATTTCTTGGACCTGGTATATGACCAACGGAAGTAAACAGGTAAGGTTTGCATCTGTTTGCCAAGCAAAGCAACATGGCAAAATCCAAATGCAGACACTTTGTAAAATACAATGACTTTTCACTGTAGGCTCTACTAATTGAATTTCTTTTAAAGTTCATGTAAATATCTGTACATGAGAGGAAAAATATCTGTGATGTTTCAGAATAGTTGTTATTACAGGGGTTTAGTTTTTGTTCTGTCTTTTATGATGTTTCCTTTTTGGAAAGTCCCTGCCATAATCTTACAGCCCAGATAAAGGTGAAACAAATCAGGTGGGTCGTTAGATACTTGTTTTTACTATATTAATGGTCATATTGTTTGAATTTTGCTGCCTGATACCAAGAAAAATCTTACAGCGTGACGTTTCTAAAGACATGAAAGGTATTGGAGGCTTGAGGAGAACAGGCCCATACCCATTTTTCTCCTCCTCCATATACAAGTAATATTGTATTTCCTAGTCTATATGATCTCTGGGGCACTGGAGCTAAAGGAGGTTATCCCATTGTGGAGGCTGCTGTGCCACTCAATTCTGAAGGAGCTGAAAGCTCTTCTCACTTCCGCTCTTGCCTTAAAGGCCGTGAGGAAAAAACTTGCTCAGTAATTTCCCTCCTTCACATACCCACTTTTCAGGATCCAGATTAGTCTTGGAAGTGGAACTGCTTTCTTCTAGCCTTTTTCTGGGGGAAGCAGTATTTAACTTCTAAAATAAGTCAGAGAGGAGGTAAATAGATCTGTCTCCTCTATGCTGCTGAAGAGTAGCACTGGCTTGTAAGACTGTCAACATAATTCACAGTGAAGCAGCATTCCCAGTTCAACTTCCTTGAAAAATACATGTTTTGTGCAGCGGTGAAACCTGGGTATTGCATCCTGACACCTGAGGCTGCCTTTGTCAGTGGAGTCTGTAGAGTCAAAGGTACCTTTCATCTGATCTTAAATAGAATAAAACAGGTCAGACTAAAACTTCCTCACTAAAAGTACGTATTTTGCTCCACTGGATATAAAGGGAACACAGGCAGCCAGCTAAGATAAAACCTTCCCTTGGAGGTGCACTAAACATAATTCACAAATGTCACTTGATCTTAACTTGTTTTTACACTGCTTTATATAGAACTATCTGTTGATAATATAAATAATTTGATTAGAATTTCTCATTGCATTAATAAGACTTGTAATGTATTTTTTAATTTCAGATTACCATTAATGAGTCTTTGCTGGCAGACAAATATGTAATTAGTAAAAAGTCTGCCAATATAACCCAACTGAAGATACTGAAGCTCACTAAGGAAGATGATGGTGAATATTGGTGTGAAGCTGCTTTTGAATTAGGGAAAAGTAAAGGAAAACTGGAGCTTAAAGTTCTGTCCTTCATGGTGCCTCTCAAACCCTTCGTAGCAATTGTGATTGAAGTTATTGTTTTAGTAGCTCTCATTGTCGCTTATGAGGTATATTCAAAGAAAGTGAAACGTACAGGTAAGTCTTCTCTAGCTTTCCATTGAAATTGCAGCCAAAAATAGAAAGATATGACACATAACACTTCATATATGAAGTTCAGTGTGATTTTTTTTTTTAATATATTTTTTTTTCTGATAAAATACTTTCTTCTAGAACACTGCATTGTTTTTAGATTTTTAAATCTCTTCCATGAGTCTTGAATTCAGGCACAAAGTGCTTTCAGTAAGCAGTGCTTTCCCATAAATGTTTTGATATAGTCATTACTTTTTTCCTTACAAGACAAAATAATTTAGAGGCTATACTTGCTTAGGAATGGAAGTAACTCTTAGTAGTCTTGAAGGGAGAAACTTCTGCCAAGCAATTGAGTAAGAAGGAAAAATGCATTAAACCAGAATGCACTAATCTTGGTGGTTGAATCTAAGGCGTGTATAGGTAAGCCAAGCTAGATGTACAAGATGAAACAGAAGTGATATGTATGTAAAAAACCCTATGTATATATGTCTATTATACATACATGCATACATGTTTTTCAGTTTTGTACTGAATATATGGATTGTATATATAACATGTATTAAAATCAAGGTAGAACTTGATCAAAATAAGCTTTTTGGAAAATTTGCAGGTACTTCCACTAAACAGAGGAACAAGATAATTTGAATTACAAATCTAAGAAAACTAATAAAATGAAAAAAATGTTTTGCTTAGGCATGGAGTAAATAATATAATAAGCCAGAACTTTTCTAGTGTTTGTTAAATTGAGACCTTTTATCATTCTTTTTCTGTTATGCAGAAGCTGAAAAAGAATTTGACCAAATTGAGCATCTGTAAGTGAAGAATTTATGTATTATAGTTAAATATTTGCTTTTTTGCATATTAGTGTGTTGTATAAAATTATACCTTATTGTTAACCCAATTGGTAATTTTAATTGCTAAGGGTTAGTGATGAATGTGAAGGTATAGTTCATTTAGTTCATTCCTTTCCTTGAGACTTCCTTAAAAATTCCAGTGTGCTGAATGTGGTTTCCTAGGCAGCACTTAATTTTGGTGTTTAGAATATATGTCTTTTTTTTTTTTTTTTTTTTTTTTTTTAAGCACCATGTGTTCTCATTATAAACTCATTCTAAAATCACAGAATCATAGAATTGTTTGGTTTGAAGGGACCTTAAAAATCATCTCATTCTACCCCCTTCTGCCATGGGCAGGGAAGCTATGACTAGGAGGAAAATCACTTTTGGGTAGAAATTTTGTAGAAGAGGCTTTGAAATTTTTCTCATATGTTTTATTTATCCATATTAACATAAATTTCTCTCACATGCATGTGGTTAAAGCCCAGATTATCCTAGGTAAGCCTGTAGTTGCTAGAGTACTGCAAGCTGGTATTGTTGCCTATTTTGGTGGTTAACACCAGCCTCTGGAGCAGTGCCTCTCATGGTGCTTTATACCTGGGGCTCACTGGGCACAGGGATGGTTGCACTGCTGCAGCAAGAGGGGCAGGTGTAGGCACTTCTGTTGCTCTTCTGCTGCTTGAGTGTTCGTGCTTCCATATAGGCTTCCCCATCCTGAGGATGATGCAAGGCTTGCTTGCTAAAATCGGCTATATTTATGTCCCTCAGCCCACCCTTTGAAGCCCAGTCACTTCATCTAGCATGTTAACTTTCCTTTTGTTTTAAGACACAGTTCTTTTTTGATGTGTCCAGTCTACTCCTTTTTTTATTCTGTCTCTTCACTTATGCTTATTTGTTACTGTCCTTCTGTGTAGCACCCTTGTTGGATTTCTTGCTGCAGTGACCTTTGTTTCCCTATGTTGTATTCATGTTTCCATTCCTATTTCCAGTGCTAGCTGAAAATATATTCTTAGCATTCCCAAAAAAATTTACCAGCTTTAACATTCAGTTCCATTATAAACTCGGAATATGTCTTGGAAATTCAGTATGCTGTTATGCTGCTGTTTCATTATAATCATAGAATAGTTAGGGTTGGAAAGGACCTTAAGATCATCTAGTTCCAACCCCCCTGCCATGGGCAGGGACACCACACACTAAACTATGTCACCTAAGGCTCCATCTAACCTAGCCTTGAGCACTGCCAGGGATGGAGCAGTCACAACTTCTTTGGGCAACCCATTCCAGTGCCTCACCACCCTCACTGTGAAGAACTTCTTCCTTATATCTAATCTAAACTTCCTCTCTTTAAGTTTGAAGCCATTATTACCCTTTGTCCTACCACTGCAGTCCCTAATGAAGAGTCCTTCCCCAGCATCCTTGTAGGCCCCCTTCAGATACTGGAAGGCTCCTATGAGGTCTCCACGCAGCTTCTCTTCTCCAGGCTGAACAGCCCCAAGTTTCTCAGCCTGTCTTCATACGGGAGGTGCTCCAGCCCTCTTATCATCCTCGTGGCCCTCCTCTGGACTTGCTCCAACAGCTCCATGTCCTTTTGATGTTGAGGACACCAGAACTGGACACAATACTCCAAGTGAGGTCTCACAAGAGCAGAGCAGAGGGGCAGGATCACCTCCTTTGACCTGCTGGTCATATTTCTTTTGATGCAGCCCAGGATACGGTTGGTGTCTGGGCAGCAAGTGCACACCGAAGATGGCTCATGTCAAGCTTCTCATCAACCAACACCCCCAAGTCCTTCTCCTCAGGGTTGCTCTGAATCTTTTCTCTGCCCAGCCTGTGGCTGGGCCTGGGATTGTGCCGACCCAGGTGTAGGACCTTGCACTTGTCTTGGTTAAACTTCATCGGGTTGGTATTGGCCACCTCTCAAGTGTATCCAGGTCCCTCTGGATGGCATCCCTTCCCTTCAGCATGTCAGCTGAACCACACAGTTTGGTGTCATCAGCAAACTTGCTGAGGGTGCGTCAGTCCCACTGTCTGTGTTGCTGGCTGAGATGTTGAACAAGATCGGTCCCAACACCAACCCCTGAGGGACACCACTCATTACTGGTCTCCAGTTAGACATTGAGCAGTTGACCACAACTCTTTGTGTGCAGCCATCCAGCCAGTTCTTTATCCACCAAGTGGTCCATCCATCAAATTGATGTCCCTCCAAATTAGAGACAAGGATGTCTTGCGGGACAGTGTTGAACTCTTGCGCAGGTCCAGGTAGATTCTTCAACTGCTTTGCTGCTGTCTGTCAGTTCTGTAGTCGCATCATAGAAGGCCACCAAATTGGTAAGGCAGGATTTGCCCTTACTGAAGCCATGTTGGCTGTCACCAACTGTCTTGTTGTTTTCTATGTGCCTTAGCATGCTTTCCAGGAGACTCTGCTCCAGGATTTTGCCAGGCACAGAGGTGAGACTGACTGGAAATGTCTTGGGTTGAAAATTGCCCTCGTTGCGCAGCCCTGCACAGTATATTGCACCAAAATAATGTTTTCAAGCTTGATGAGATGCGGGATGCAGTTTTGATCAGCTGATTAATCTTTATTTTGGAGTTCTATCTTGGATAAACACATGTGAAGAAAATCTACTAAACTGTGTACTTTTTGCCTGATTTTAGTAACTGAAAGTTACATCAACTCTTGGCTGTTTAGAAGATAGATTTGCGTATCAGAGAGAGTGACTCCAGAGGAATTTCTCTGGTTTGTTATGTCAAATGATGACTAATATACATCTGAATTTGGTTGATGAGACTATAATTAAAATGTTATAGTTAACAACATACTAAGTAGGAGGCTAGTGATTCAGAATCAGATTTTTTTTCTTTTTTGAGAGAGAATTGTTAATATAAGTCTTTGACCAGCACCCAAGTTGTAGGTACTCCAGAAAGAGCGATCATACAGTGTTTCCGCCAATATTCTGAGGATGTTGAGCTGTATATTGTTTAAGGATTCACTTTATATACAAATTTCTATACACTGAATGAAATGATAGTACAGTAATAATTTCTGGAATAATGTCACTGTTGTACCTTAAGCCCAGAACTTTGTGGGTATTTGAGGGGGATTGAGTTGTCTTTACTACTTGGCTGAAAGATGTCAAGATGTCAAGAGTCAGGTTTTTTTGGTGCTTAATGTTTTTAATCTTATAACCTCACATGTTAAAAGAGGGAAAAATCAAATACATCTCAGATGTACTCTGTTACTGGATTGTGGGACTGGAATGATTGTGCTCCTACTAAAAAGTTGAGTTCTGGAATTTAACTTCTCTTTCTTACAGTAAATCAGAAGACAGTGGTCTGGAAAGCAGTAGGGCTAGGCAGAGAAGAATTTGATCTGCTTCCTAAAAAGGTACGTAGAGATGAAATGGAGACAAAAATTTACTCTTTTCCTCAGCACAGCCTAATACAAGGTTGAAGAAATCCATTGTGCCATCCCAGTGTGGTTGGTGGTTGTTTTTTGGTTGGTTGGGTTTTTTTGCTGCTTTTTTTTAATGTGGGAACATAAGAATAGAACCATTGTTTAGATAAAACTGTATATAGTAATTTATGATGTAACATCAGCAAGACAATGTGTTCAGTCCCTTTTAATTCAATGCTGTCATCATCACTGTGGTTTAGTAGTTCTGTTCACCCATGCAGTTCTTATAATAGGACCCAGATTAACCTGGTTAATAACCTGGTTCCTGATCATGAAATATTTCTGTAGATGGCAGGGTAAGTGCTGAGATGCGTAACTGCTGATATATGTAAGCCCCTACTCTTTAGGCTGTATTTTGGGTGTTGAGTGAGGTTATGGAGGAAGCATGCAAGTGGGGAATGTGACAGTACCAGAGATATGAAACAAGGGGTTATGAAAGTCTAGGAAAGTAAACAAAGTGTAATAGATAGTGACCGAAAAGTTTAGGTGGTAGGAGGAAGCAGAGGATATGTAGCCCTCTGGTAGCTATATAATGAACATCCCTGATCCATTTTAGTCTTTACAGCCTGATTACAGATTGTTTCTACTTAAGCCAGATGGAAAAGGTTGTTAGAGGATGGTTTGTCAGTTGAGCACCAATCATACACACTCTGTCTATTTCCTCTTGTTATTCCCCCTCGGCATCTGGTGCCCCGGTCTCTCATCTCAACATGAGGTATTAGTGACATTGCATTCATGTCACAGCTGGCAGTGTTCCTCCTCATCACAAGCCATCTTCTTGAAGGAAGATTGCTTCCATACCCTTTGTTTTAAAAAACAGAAGTGGCAGGTGAAGAGTAGCAAACTGAAAATAATCAATCACAGATACTTTCAGGAGTATATTCTCTCCTTGGTTTTCCTACATGTTGTACTTGTGATTGCTGGTAACTTTGGTTGTCAAGGTGTCATGGTTTAACCTTGGGTAGCAACTAAGCCCCATCCATCCAGTTGCTTGCACTCCCCTGATGGGATGGGGGAAAGAATCAGAAGGGTAAAAGTGAGAAAACTCGTGGGTTGATACAAGACAGTTTAATGGGTAAAGCAAAAGCTCCCCACACAAGCAAAGCAACTGGTGAGTTCATTCACCACTTCCTGTGGTCAGGTAGGTGCTCAACCATCTCCAGGAAAGCAGGGCTCCATCATGCATAGCAGTTACTTGAGAAGACAGATGCTTTAATTCCGCATATTATTCCGCCTCCCCTTCCTTCTTCCCATAGCTCTATATATTGAGCGTGATGTCCTATGGCATGGGATATCCCTTGCATCATTTGGGGTCAGCTGTCCTGGCTGTTCCCTCCCAGCTCCATATGCACCCCCAGCCTACTTGCTGGTGGGGTAGTGTGAGGAGCAGAAAAGGCCTTGACTCTGTGTAAGCCCTGCTCAGCAATAGTGAAAACATCCCTGTGTTATTTACGCTGTTTCCAGCACAAATTCGAAACACAGCCCCACACCAGCTACTGTGAGGGAAAATTACTTATCCCAGCCAAAACCAGCACACAAGGATTTATCCCATCTTGGATCTAAGGTCCTGTTCTCATAAAGTCCTTTTGGCATGTGATCCTCAGTGAATCATTAGCGATTCAGATTTGCAAATGTGACCATTAAAAAAAAAAATCTGAACTGTAACAGTTTATTTTCAAAGAAATATGGTAAAATATTAAGCAGCAAATTAATAGAATTCATGTTACAAGGAAATATGTTTATCTTTAATTCAGGAGATTTAAAGCAACAGAAGTGGAAATCATCACAAAGCTACAGAAGATGTATGCAGCTATGCATTTTAGAAATCTGCTATGCTTCTAAGTAAACTCCTGTACACTTTAAGAAAATAAGATGCTTTTAAAATAGCTGTGAAACTGCTTTTTTTTTATACAGATGATAATGTATTCTGATATACTGCATTTAGACCTCTGCTGTCTCTGTAGCATTTGTCATTTTACTACTAAAAGGCTTTTCTTATGTGATTAGACTTCCTGTTGTTTGACTGATGTGTTTGATTTTTATGTCCTAAATTGGAACTAATTTTGCATTCACTGAATGAACAGATGATATAGAATGGGCCTATAAATGTTACAAAGCTGGACTTGTAAGATCAAAAAAATATTTCCACCGAAGAAAATGCCTTTTACTAGAAGATGAAGCAAATGTGACACAGCCATTTTTACCAAAGAAATAGTCAAAGGGAAATCTTTATCATTATTTAAATTAAACAGTAATAGGTTTGCAGTTTGCTCTGAACAGTAAAATACCTTCATTCTGGCTTTGCTTAGCTTCATTTAAATGAGGAAGATAGGTGCATTCTGAATACTTAAGATATGAATTTTCTTAAGATGTCTTGCCATATGTGTGTGCTACTGTACTGTAATTCTAAATAGGCTAAATACTTAAGTACTGTACAAACCAGATATTTCAGAGTATTCCAGAGTAGATGAAAGAAGCAAAGGGGATACAGTTTCATATCTGAAGGTAGCTGAAATAATTCCTTACGCTTGCAAATTACTGCAGGATCTGAGGGCTACAAACCCAGTTTTGTGATTATAATTTATACAGAACACATAAATTTCACAAAGGTAGCTATGTGGTTCTTACATCCTGTCTACTTGATTGATACCTTTTACTTCTTGCAGCATACTGTATTGTTCCTTAAACTCCTTTCAGAGCACAGAGTACGTCTTGAGCAGCTAAAATTTTCAGAGTAATATGATAAAACAACATGAATACCACTAGTTCTCTTACACATAAAACTGTGACATTGCTGTTATGACTTAAGATAAAGCTTTAGAAGAGCTAGTTGCCATAATTCTAAATTAAACCATTTATTTACACATTCAGAAATTGAAAAAGGTGGAGCTAATAGCGTAACAGTTGATTGCCTTAGTTGCCTTTGCTTGCTAATCTAAAAGAAAAATAAGAAAAACTTAAATTTTAAGAAAGGGAAAAGTCGAGTCTTTTAAATAATTTCTTTTCTCAACAAAAATGTAAGGAAAAAGCAGGCAGCGTTTGCCAGCTCCCTAGGGAAATGGAAGGAAAAAACATCTAAATAGAATTTCCTCAAACTCGTCGTTCTTCTTTGAACATAGAGAAAGGAATACAGAAAAATAAACGATAAAATAGGTTTAATTTGCTCCCTCTGTTTTTTCCAATTTTACTATTCTTATGGGTTTAAAAATAGCCTAGCATTAGCTGTTGGAGATGGGGGACAAAATGAAGTCTAATATACACTTTTTTGTTTTCATTGTTTATTTTGCATCTTTAAAATTACAAGTTAAAGTCCAAGTAAAAAACAATGGGAAGTATATAAGCATTAAGTGATTGACTATAAGGACTGAATGCTGATAAAGATTTCCCTTTCTAAAATACTGTGTTTATTGTATTTTGCCTTGGATTTTCTATGCACTATAAAAACCAGAATGCATTTACAGCTTTTCATACAAATTTATTGATGCTATAAAGTTCTTTGATTGTAGCAAGTAAAATGGCTTGCAGTTTAGAAAGATTTACTTCTGTATATTGTTTGAAACAATTTTTGTAGGTATTTCAGTAGTAAAAAAGAGTAAGCTTACATAGATCTAAGAGTTAGAGCCTGCATAAAGCAGGATTAGTGTGTCTTGCAACAAAAAGGGTGCTAGGTTCTGTCTGGAAAAAAGACCGCCTTTTAAGCAGACGTGGTAATGACTTACTTCTGCCTTCATGGAGCATTCTTGTCTGATACTGAAACTGTGGTGTGAAGCCTTGGCCAACATAGGCCAGACTTCAGGTATTTTTTTGGTGTTAGCAAACAAGGGTTGCACTGAAGGCAAGCAGGAACTGGAAAACCTGGATTAAGCATGGATTTTACGTCTATGAGGTGTTTCTCCTATCGGGACTTTATTAGAGTTTGGTCAAATTGGCTTTTATAACTATAGTTTTGTCCTGACCTGCCTCTAGCATGTTGTGCTTGCCATGTCTGCAAGGGGTTTCATGTTTGGTTTTAGGTTGTTAAGTAGCTTTTCATCTTGGTAAGTGGTTTTATTCTTCATATGTCTGCCTAGGTTTAAACCTTGGGCCCCCTGCAAAAGGCAATAAATAGTATTAAATGTTAAATATTAGAAAACTGGCATAATTAGTGGTATCTCCTACAAACAACAGGGCTAAGTGTAAGGATCCACAAAATTAGTTCTAATAAAATAAATTAATCTCTAATTGACATAATGGTTAGGCTCGGCCATATACATTTGTTGGGCAGATCTTGTCTTCTGAGTTTAAATGTTCTTTTCATGGAAGAGTTTATTGGTTTCTATACCTACAAAAGCCTTATCCAGTTTTCAGAGGAAAAGACTATAATAAAGTCTGCAAAACAGTCCTGAAGGGCTGTTTCCTAATGCTTCAAAGTGGTCACTGCAAATTCCTCTTCTACGTAGATCCAAAGTAGACAAAAGCAGCTTGAGGCCAAATTCCTAGTGAAGATTGACAAATAATAGAAGAGTTTCCAAACTTTGAGCTCAGATAGAACTGTAAGACTATTTCTTTAGGATGGAGAACCTAAGAATTACCCAATAGTGGGCCAGGATAATTCAGTGATTAGTTACAGGTCATTTGACACACATAGTACTGAGGAAGAGAGGGAAAACCCATCAGTACTGACGTTGATACTGAAATCAGCACCTCTGTGCCTTTAAGTCTTTTCCAGCCAAAGAAAATGAGGTTTGTATTCTGCTTTAAATTCACCCTCAAAACTTTTCAACAGCTGAGCAATTAGAAGGAAACTGATTGGTGTCTTCACCGTAGGGAGAGTTCTTGAGTGGAGAGGTCCCTTAAGTATTGAGATACACAGCACATGCAGGCTAACCACAATTAACTGTGTCAGATCTAGCTGACAGCTCCCCCAGGTTAGGAA